GGCTCTGTCTGATCTGTCAGCAAAAAGCCTGACACAGGGCTCAAACACATGAACCATGAGATCAAGACGTGAGCTGAAGTCAGACACTTAATCAACAGAGCCACCCAGGCGTCTTTATATTCTGCTTGAATTTTATGTTACAGCCTTTATGTTGAATAAAATTGACTTGCTTTTTTTTTTTTTTTTTTAAGTGTGTTTGTTTGGGGGGAGGGGGCAGAGAGAGAGACTCTCAAGCAGTCTCCTCAGAGACTGATGTGGGCCTCGAAGTCAGAAACTGAGATCATGACCTGAGCTGAAATCTGGAGTCGGCCTATTTACTGACTGAGCTACCTAGCACCCCTTGGTTTGCCCCTTGTATATCTCTCTACCAAATGTGTTTTTTTTTCTTTTTAATGTTCATTTATTTATTTAGGGGGGAGTGCGGGGAGAGAGAGAGAGAGGTTACAAGCAGGGGAAAGGCAGAGAGAGAGAGAGAGACAGAGACACAAAGAATCTGAAGCAGGCTCCAGGCTTCAAGTTGTCAGCGGAGGGCTTGAACCCACAAACCATATCAGGACCTGAGCTGAAGTCAGATGCTTAGCCTACTGGGCTACCCAGGCATGCCAAATGTGGTTTTTGATAGCTGGTACCTATCCTTTTTATTTTGGTAGTCTTGTTGCATAGTCACGGCTTGCCACATATCACTAGTCCCTCATTTTTCTGGGTCTTAATTGATGAGGAGGATGGTGTGACTGGAGCAGGGGGTGGGGTACATTATTGGAAAGTGAGATGTGACAAATATGCTGATACCAGATTATAAATAACTGAATAACAGATTAAAGAATTTGCAGTTTGTTGGGACACCTGGGTGGCTCAGTCGGTTGAGCATCTGACCTCCGCTAGGGTCATGATCTCACAGTTTGAGGGTTTGAGCTCCCTATGCTGACAGCTTGGAGCCTGGAGCTGCTTCAGATTCTGTGTCTCCCTTGCTCTCTGCCTCTCCCCACTCACGCCCTCTCTTTCAAAAATAAATAAACATTAAAAAATTTTCTTAAAAAAAGAATTTGAAGTTTGTTTAGCATGCTGTGGAAGGCATTCCTGATTATTTCAGATTAGTTCCCTATTTTACAAAGATAATTGAGTGCACAGTAGAGAATGTAGTATTGGAAAGAAGAAAAGAGATTGGAGGTTAGGTAGAAGATGGCTCCAGATATATTATAAGGCGCCCCTACAATGAAATGTTCTGCTCTTTTGGCCTTAGTGATATCAGATGCTTGCATCAGAGTCGTAAAGGATGAAACAATCTCGGGGTTAAATCAGGAAGGGATCATTGGAAACTTGACACTACACTAATTATGTGAGTATAGCAAGAGTAAAAGTAGATTGGAGGCGTATTAAGAGGAGTTGATAAGGAAGTAGAACATTATAGTTAAAAAAAATTCAGTGTTTTACACACACACACACACACACACACACACACACACACACACACAGAGGAATATCACTCAGCCATAAAATAGAATGAAATCTTGCCATTTGCAGGAATATGGGAGCTAGAGTATTATGCTAAGCAAAATAAGTCAGAGAAAGACAAATATCGTATGATTTCCCTCATGTGGAATTTAAGAAATAAGACTAGATGAACATAGGTGGAAAAAAGAGGCAAACCATAAACAGACTATTAACTCTACAGAACAAACTGAGGGTTTTGGGAGAATTGGTGGCTGGGGGAATGGGTTAAATGCATATTTAAGGAGGTGCTTAATGAGAATTAAGGAGTATATTTGTGATGAGCACTGTGTGTTGTATGGAAGTGATAAATCACTAAATTGTACAGCTGAAACTACTGTTACACTGTATGTTAACTAATGGATTTAAATTAAAACTTGAAAAAATTCTGTGAACGATAGGAAAGTTGAAAGAATAAAAGAAATTGTAGGGTCAAATGGTGGTTTTTCCAGTTATAGAATGTGTATATGTATTTTTCAAAGTTTTTAAAAAGACAAGAAGGTTCAGTACAGTTAAATCAAACCACCAAGAGATTAGTGTTAAACTATAATATATTTTTAAGTTATTTTTGAGAGACAGAGACAGAGCACAAGTGGGGGAGAGGCAGAGAGAGTGGGAGGCACAGAATTTAAAGCAGGCTACAGGCACTGAGCTGTCAGCAAAGAGCTGGATGTGGGGCTCGAACTCATGAACTGTGAAATCATGACCTGAGCCAAAGTCAGATGCTCAACTGACTGAGCCACTCAGGTGCCCCAACTATATAATATTTTAGGAAGAGAAAATGAAATTTAAGAAGAATGAAAAAACCCTGAGATTCACTACAGCTTATATTCATCATATAAACTTAACATACAGAAGAGTGATTTTGGTAGTTGTCTCTGGAGGAGTTAAAATTAAAAAATTACAAAATCATCCCACTGATTTTTGAGTTTTTAATACATGACTAGGGTGAATTTATTTTAAGACTTTAGAAATGCATAAAAAGAGGTTATTAAGAGCTGAACAAATACACAGAAAATATAGTCACAGTATTTTTGGTGAGAAAATATAAATATAATTGGAATATTTCATAGGTAGAATTTTTAAGTGTATTTATTTTGAGAGAGTGCATGTGTGTGTGTGTGTGTGTGTGTGTGTGCATGCATGTGGGGGAGGGGCAGAGAGAGAGAGCGAGGATCTTTAAAAAAAATCTCCTTTAGAGATTTATATGCAAGATTTAAAAACAATTTTTTTTAATGTTTTTATTTATTTCTGAGAGAGAGAGAGAGACAGCATGAGCAGGGGAGGGTCAGAGAGAGGGAGATACAGAATCTGAAGCAGGCTTCAGGTTCTGAGCTCGCTGTCAGCACAGAGCCCGATGCAGGGCTCAAACCCACGAACCCTGAGATCATGACCTGAGATGAAGTCGGATGCTTAACCGACTGAGCCACCTAGTGCCCCGAAAAGTTTCTTAATTTAGGGTTTACACCCCTATACTTCTTGAATTACTAAAACTTGAAACCTAACCAGTATTTGTACTCTGAGGAATGAGTCTTTGAGTTTTGTATGTGATAAGGAAAGAATGAGAAAAAAAATGTCTTGAAAGTGAGACCCAAGGACTGTAAAGATAGACAGTTTTGCTAACAAAAGTTAAGTTAGGCTTTAGGTAACTTGATAACCTTTTCATTCCTGCCAATTCCAAGCCTTTAAGCCCTAGCTTTTCTCTAATTCAGTACTGTTTATTGAACTTCACCATTTTAGTCGTGTTTCTCCCTATCCCAGTGAAAATAAACATTCCTTGTTTTTGACCTCTTTGGAATATGGCCTCCCTATAAATGTTGATGGCATATCATATTTATAATTACATATTTTCTAGTCTAACTTGTGACTGAAAGCCTAGAAGGAGAAAAAATGGGCATCCCAAAGTTATCCCTTGGTCTTTATATTCTGTAACAGTTATATATTAAATGGTAGAAGAATCATTTTGGGGAGGTCACAAACTCTTGGACTTAGGTTTGTTTGTAAAACAAAAGGATGTATCACTGAATTCACTTATGTGAGTCTTGGGTGGGCTCATTATATTTGTGGCAATCTATATACATACATCTATAAAAATTAACTCTAATGGGATGCCCGGATGGTTCAGTCGGTTGAGCAGCTGACTCTTGATTTTGGCTCAGGTCTTGGTCCCAGGGTCATGGGATCAAGCCCTATGTCGGGCCCCTTGCTGAGTGTGGAGCCTGCCTAAGATTGATTCTGTCTGACTGTCCCTCTCTCCCTTTGCCCTCTCTCCCACTCAATTGTGCTTTCAAATTGGGAAAAAAAAAAAATTGAAACTTAAAAAAAAAATTAACATCTTTATGTAATATGCTACTTACTATTTCATTATATAAAAACAGTTAATCTTGTTTATCTCCGGAAAAAAAGATGCTGGAAAGTAAAGATGGTGAAGTTCAGGTGGGCTTTTAAATATATTGTAGAGAGATCTTGTGCTTTAGAGTGAGAGAGACCTGGATTTCTCTTACTTAATATGTAACTGTGCAAGATACTATGGAAACAAACTCAGAGGAGTTACCCAGAAAACGCTTCCAGATGCAAAGTGCCTAGCATATCCTTATGAGATGCTCATAAATGAATATTAAGTACCTTTTCTTGTTTTACAGGACAAGTGAATGCCTCCTGGAAAACTAATAATGAAAATTTTGGGAAAATATTTAAAAGTTACATAGCTAAGTAAATTACCAAGTTAGGTGTTACTAAATAGAAAAATATGGAAAGAGCTGCTTTCTCTGCTATCTAAGACAACTTTATTTAATGTGAAGATTTTCTGCCCCTGACCTGCTTGCTCTTTCTCAAAAATAAACATTAAAAAAAGAAATTATCTTGATTAGGGACACCTGGGTGGCTCAGGCAGCATCTGCAATTCTAGATCTTGGTGTTGTGAATTCAAGCCCCATGTTGGGTGTAGAGATTACTTAAAAATAAAATCTTTAAAAAAAAAAAGAAAAAGAAATAATCTTGATTAGAATCAAGATCAATTCTACATAAGTTAATCTTGTACGTTTTAAAAAACTACAATTCTTTTTTCTTTCATGTTTGGGAGAGAGTGCACAAGCGAGCAGAGGAGGGGCAAACAGAGGGAGAGGGAGAGAGAGAATCCTAAGGAGGCTCTGTGCTGTCCGCACATAGGGCTCTATCTCATGAACCATGAGATCATGACCTGAGCCGAGATCAATAGTTGGATGCTTTCTTTACCTACTGAGCCACCCAGGTGCCCCTAAAATACTATAATTTTAAAAGTCATTTCAAACACTAAACTTTCATTATATATATGGTTCTGTTAATTTGTAATATCAGAATGGCCATTTATCTTTTTTCTAAGTTTCAGTGTAAAATTAATACAAAGTAAAGAAATGACAGACTACATTTAGTAGATGTGATTTGTATAATGTAAGTTGTGCTTTTTTAGCGGAATGCTTTTTTCCATGTAGTAAAATGCATTTATTCAAAAAAGAAAGTAGAGTACATTATAATTCCAAGGAAATTTTTTATATTAAAAATGCCAGTCTTTTTGACTTAAATTGGAAAGGGCCTTAAATAATACCTGAACAGGAAATTCACAATCAAGGTTGAAATCTTGTATTACCATATATTTCTAATTACACATTATTTTAAGTTTGTATATTTTAAACCATGGTTACAGTATTACTGTACAGAAATACATTAAAGGTATTACCTTTTGGTTTAATTCTTTACAACTTGAAAATAGAATTGTGATATGAAATGACAATTATTTTTACTCTGATAAAAACAAGCTCTGAACTGAATATTTCATTGTATTTTTTCTAAAGAACTCACTTCTCATGAGCAAGTGTTCAATATTATATAGTTAGGAAACCATTATATTATTAAAACTTGAATTTTTTCTTTAACTCTACCCCAGTATTTTAAATATTTAGGTTTTTTGGATACACGCTACTAAACTACACATTTGATCATATCTTGAATAATACAACATTAAAAATAAATAAGATCTTCAAGTAAACAAACATGTTTCCAGATCATAATGCCAGTGTGCATGAACCTATTCTTTGAAGACTAAAAGCTCTGCTTGTTTGGAAAAGTCAATGATTAGGTCTTTACAAGCAGGTGAGGTTCCGTTTTCCTTCTAAACGTTCCTTTACTAATTTTTCCAAAGAGAAAAGATGCTCATCTGCATCTTCTGGCACAAGGTTCCTCATAGAATTTGCAAGTTCAAAAAGATACTCTGTATTTCTTCCACTTGGACCAGCTGCATTAAAAATTTGGTCAGCAATGTCTTCCAGAGGGGCAGGGCCAAGATAATTAGGATTATCACATGTTCCGATGTATAGCAACACAGTGAATGGCTTTGTTGTGGAATCTTTTGGATAAAAAATGACTGTTGTGGTCCTGTAGCCTCCTTTCTCTCTGAAGTCAAGGTATGCTTTTACTTCTTCTTCCTTTCCTACTGGCAGTCTGTAAGCAACACCCCATACACAACCCTGTTGAAATATGAAAAGAATGTATTATTTAGAATTTATAGGGCTAAAATAGGTGAAGATATATTATGTTCTAAGAAAATAGCTTGTATATTCTTAGAAGTCAGTGTAGATTTGCTTTACTAAAAGTACACTGAAGGGCATCTGGGTGGCTCAGTTGGTTAAGCATCCGACTTTGGCTCAGGTCATGATCTCACGGTTCATGAGCTCAGGCCTTGCGTGGTGCTTGAGAGCCTGGAGACTGCTTTGGATTCTGTCTCCCTCTCAAAAATAATTACTAAAAAAAAAAGTGCACTGAGAGGTACAAACTAAATAAAGAAAATCAGCATTTTAGATTCTTCAGTCTGAAAAAGTAATTTATTGCACAGAAGGATATTTATCATTGTTAAAGTTTTAAAAATCCTGTTTTAACTAGTGGGACTGAAAAAAAATCAGGTGTTCATTTGGTCATTAAACAAATATAGTTCTAAAGTTTTAAATACGTAAACATTTCACTGATGGTATAGGACAGTCATTTCTAAACTGTTTCATGGAGTGTTGTAGCCACTTTGGAGCCTACTTTAGGGGATGTAAGTGTTAGGTGCTCGCTGGCAGGGCTTTGCTACTCCAACTTTAGCTAGAGCTGAGCAGCACTTACCTTTTTATGTACCGGCTATTCCCTTATTTACAGAAAGGGCTCTTTGTTTTAAAAGGTCTATAAGAAAGCAGTCGACTACTTAAGGCCATAGCAGGTTCATTTTATTTGTTCATATTCTCTCACTGCAGGAGCTTTCAAATATCCTTTGCAAATTATTCCATGCCGAATACTAAATGGCAGTCTCTATTGTTGAGAGCCCATGAACAAAGTGTGAGTAAAAAACTGGATGCAAAGGTTTTTTGGTTTGTTCTTTAGTGTTAATAAAATAACTGTGATATAAGCAGAATTTACAGTTTGTAATTATAGATTATCTAGTTTCTTCACAATCCTTAATCACTAATTTTAATTATTAAACTCTAGGTTGCTATGTATCTTCTTGATTTTTTTTTTAATGTTTATTTTTGAGAAAGCGCAAGCTGGGGAGGTGCAGAGGGCGAGGGGGACAGAGGATCCAAAATGGGCTCTGAGCTGACAGGCTGACAGCTAGCCCGATGTGGGGCTCAAAATCACAAACTGAGATCATGACCTGAGCCAAAGTTGGATGCTCAAAGGACTGAGCGACCTGGTGCCCCATTGTTGAGTGAGTTTAACATTCTGTAAAAACAAAGTGCCATTTACTGACTTTAAACTAAGAGTTACAGTTACCAGTTTGCAGCCAATTTTATAGATGCTTTTCCTAATGTAAATTATGAAGGCAGTGCATTATTTCACCATTATTCATTTGCTGTTGATAGGTGCTTGACTTTTATATCAAAGTCCTTTCCAAAGTTAAATCTTTATTTTCACAATATAAAAGTTTGAATCTATGCCTCAATAAAAGGATTGAAAATATTTAAGAAACAGAAGACTATTAGGTAAATATGTTTTCTAGTGCCCCAAACCTGTTTAAAAACCTGTTGTGATATTAAAAAATTAGGCAAGGAAGTGATAATTCCTGACAGGGATTTTTGCTGAGAACAGTAGACTTCTAGCAAATATGAAGAGTGTTTTAAGGGTTGCTGTCTGAGGACTAGTTCCGTTAATGCCAAATTCTTAGTCAATAAACTCAGTAAGGAAAAAAAGAAAGACTGCGTGCTATTTGGTTTTATTTTGTTGTCTACTCTGCATTCTGCATTCCAGCTTTTCCCAACAGTTAAAAAGAAACACAGTAATAGAGAGGAATTCTAGACCTAGTGTTCAAACTGTCTGTGATGACTGTTAATAAAATTTCATTGATTATTAAAACAAACAGTCTCAACATTTTATATGATTAAAGACTATACAAAAAAGAATAATAATACCATACCCCAGGATCTTCAACAAGAGTCACAACTCTTCCAGGCTGTTTTAAAATAAAAGTAAAAAAAACAAAAATTTTTTTTCTGAATCAGTTTATCAACTAACCGAGCATTACCAATTTATTGTTGACATGGAATATTTTAATTGTTTGTACTAAACACCTCCCAAAAGCACTTATTTTTATGATAAATTTTCAAGTGAATTAAATAAGAGAATATACATTATCCAAATTATCTTGACTCTTCTAAAAGATTCCCTTCAATTTGTGTATATTAATTATATTATGTTCACTTAAAATGGGTATATTTAAAAAAACACCTGTGACCAAGGCTCATGTAAAATGAAACACAAAGGAAGAAGCAATTATAATCAAAGTTCTGATCAGATTGCTATAGTTTTATTAAGGAACAAAACATTCTCTTCTAGAGTGCTTTCCTATAAAAGGGAAGTAAGTGGTTCTCAAACTGTAATGTAGGTCACAATTACATGGAGGGTTAATAAATACATCGCTTGGCTACAGTCCCACAGTTTCTGATGCTGTAGATTTGGAGCTGTCTGAGAATGTGCCATTTTTTTTTTTTTAATGACTACACTTCCTACCTGGTGCCAAAGGCTATGTATCTGCTAACATGTTGGCATCATTACTGAGAATACTGAATTCTAAGACACATTTTAACATATTTATTTGCCCATTGTCTGGCATACAGGGAGCATAAATAATTCAGGTATTTCTGTCATCTTATTTGCTATTTCCTTCTAGTCTTTGTCTACAAGTATAGACAATCTGTAATCATGGAAAACAAAGGATTCTTATTTAATTATATTTTCCTGTTAGTCTTATCATACATTTTAATAGTTGCCATAATATTGTATCATCAATAAGCTATAATTTAAACATTCCTATATTGTTGGGCATTGAGAGTTGACTTGTTTTCTATTTAAGATGATGGTATAAAGAGGATACATATGTTGATGTGGGTCATGTAGGCATTGCTATATTACTTTCAATTTCAAGGTGAATTAGGAACTTTATTGAATACCTAGTGTGTGTTGTAGAGAAGATAAAACCTTAATTCTTCCTTTCAAGAGCTTATATTATAATTCTGGAACACAAACTTAACATGAGAAATAAGTAGAGAACACTTAAAGGCTAAGATGTATGGTATGAGTGCAGTAAAGAATTCTGAGTTTTGGGTGGTCAGAAAGGAAGACAAAATTCTGGCAAAAGGGCATGACTCACAAATGCAGGCCTAGAGGCAAGACTACACCAGGCAAAATGTTTGACTTTAGCAGAGGGCCCCACCTGGAGAGAAGATTCAGAAAGATAATTGGAGAGATAGGATAGTCCGATTTGAAGAGCCACAGAATGGAGGGGAAATTAGGGAACAGTGGAAAATAAGCCGCCACTGAAATTTGGGAGAAAAAGGAAATTAGGAGCTACTGTAGCACTAGAGTAGCAGCTGACTGGCATGATTAAAGGTGTTTGGGGAAGGTGAGTGGTAAAGTGTATATAACATGGTTAGAGTGGGAAGGAGTTAGACCCTGAGTAGGAAATGTTAGTGGTCGAGGTGACAAGTTCTTCACTGTCTTTCCTTTCTCCCTTTATATCCAGCAGTCACCAGTTATTGGCAGCTCTGTCTATTGATTCTTTTTCTGTATGTCATTTCTCTGTATCCTCCAGTTGCTTGCTTAGGTACCTCGCTGCCTGCCTCTAGTTTTGTTTACCTCTAGTCTACTTGGCATTGGGATGACTTTCTAATGCAAAAATTAGGTCATTCACTCCTGTGCTTTGAACATTTTCAGGGTTTTAATATTCTATAGGATAAAAGTCCTCAGCATGATTTAACTACAAACCTTATTTCATACTGGTTTTCCCCTCAATCTGTACTGATTTATTTATAAGTTTTAGAAACATTCATATCTTTGGACATACTGGTGCTCAGTATGGAATGTCCTTGCTTCATTTTTTATCCCTGGGATACCCTCCTGCACTACATCCATAAAGGGTTGGCTGACTCCCCAGGTGACTTTGCAGTAGATCCTTCTCCTAAACTGTAATTTTTCCTTTTATTCACCTGTCTTCTATTTACCCATGTAAGTGCTCAGCAGTAATTGTTGAAAGGGGGAGGAGTGGTAGAAAAGTCCTTGACTTAAGTGGTGGCAGTTGAAACAGAAATCATTTTAAGAGGAAATAATGACTCCCTGTGACTGCTTATGGATGAACAGACATGGACTTTTGGCACTACTGAAAATTTACTTGGAAATATTTTCTAAAAATTACGTTCTTTGTCTTTAAAATACATATATGTTATTGAGAAACAATGTATATTTGTAAGTCACAAAAGCTTTCTCGGGGGACTGAAATTAAAGCAGGGGTCTTTCAAGCTGAATGGGATGAGTTGTAAAATGAGTTACTATGAGTGTTTTCATTGAGTAATGAGTAATTTTTCTGATCTAGATCTAGAAATATTAGAGATTTAGTAAATGTTCATGATCATCTCCTGTGTTAAAATGTTCTTTTTGAAATTGAAATATATTCTCTCTGCTGTGAAAAATTTTTCACATTTAAATAAATCCTTAATTTGGGTGAGACCTTGCCAGTTTTTTTATATATAAATGAGATGCTTAATAAAATTTAGGAAGAAATTAAAGTTTAATGAAGCTAAAAAAAGGCATAATTGAAGTAGGTTTGGTATTTTTCCCACAAATGTGACATTGCAGTATGTGGAAATGAGCCTAACATTTGTTTAATAATATCACATTTCATATGTAATGATGACTAACTTACTAGGAGCATATGTTGCTGGAAAAAAACATAGTCCTATAAAACGTCAATGTCATTCTTCTAATTTGCTGGATATCTTTGTAGCCTTTTGTATTGTTTGACACTTAATATTTATATAAGGCTGGTGATCCATTGTAATAAAAAATATTAAGTAAAATAGTATTCTTTCTAGGTTTTTTTTTTTGGTAACAAAACAGTATACTAAAAATATACTTAAGAGTTTCCTTTAATTTGCTATGATGTATTCTTTAAATAAAAGTAGGTATAAAACTATTAGCCACTGCAGTCCCCCATTCTCCGACATACCTGTCCTATATTTTAGTAAATTTAAGGAAAAAGATACTGGCTTTTATAGCTCCTTTCTTCTTTTAAAGAATCATGAGCTGTTATATTGACTTGACAACTTATTGTCCTGTTCCAACAGTATACATATCTCAATATTCTATCTAACAAACACATCATAAATTTTGATTGAAGCTAGAATAGTAAAATATGCTATCAGAGTCATATTTGTAAGCATTTAATACTTTGTCATTAAAATTAGAGCCTGGGTTAAGACTTTCTCTTCAGAAGTTTTAAGTGTTTATATCTGACAACTCAAAAGGCATTTTACTTCACTTAGAAGTTTTATTTAACTCTTCAAAGTCTTAAACACTGTTTTATAATTTTTTTTAAAGATTTTATTTTTAAGTAATCTCTACACCCAGTGTGGGGCTCGAACTTAAAACCCTGAGATCCAGTTGGATGCTCTACTGACTGAGCCAGCTAGGCAACCGTCTTTTATAAGTCATGAAGAAATTTTGGACGTGAAGTTTCTGTTGGCTTACGGATGTGCATTTGCCCCAGTCACTCCTGTTTTCCAGTCATCAGCCTACCATACTGTTTTGGGGCCAATATTAGTTTCTCTTTAAAAAACAGTAATCAGGCTCATAGAGCTTTCAGAATACTTTAGAGAACATATAAACAATAAAAAATGTACACTTTCAAAAGTTAGTAGGTTAACTAAACCATGCACAGTATTTAAGTTATCCAAACTGTTACCCAAAACCTTGTTTTCCTTGCAGCCAATACAAGGCTGAGCTGCTACTAGTTCTCTAGTACACATATATTGAGATGAAGGTCTTTTAATGACTGAAAAATGGATCAAAGAACTTAACATTTCATATTTATAATTTAGAGAAGAAACAGAGAAAGAAAGATTAAAATAATGCTGGACAAGAGTAATGGGTACTGTGTTACTCAAGTAACAAACCAAGAACTCAAATATTTAACTTTGCCAGTAAACTCCTTAACAGCAGGAGATAATTTTGGACACTAGTTCTTTTGTGACCTTAGATATCATAAAATAAAACCTTTGGTAAGATAACCCAGAAATAATATGCTTGTTTAAACTTAAACCAATGAAAGTCTGCCAGAATGCAGAAACGCCAACAAATTTAACCGCTAAAAAGCTGAATGTGCAAGCTGATTTTAGTATTTCAACTACGTGGTGACACGGAGATTGATTTTCCCGCCTGTTTTTTTTTTTTTTTTTTGGAGGGGGGGGCAGACGTCGCTCTGCCTTGGGCGAGCTTGTGTGTCTTTGCCCTTGTTTCTTGCTTTCCCAAGAAATTGACCACCAGCATCTCAAGGGGCTTCGGAAGTAGTGCCCTTGGTTTGGGAGAGAAGTAGAGAGCAAGTGGGAAGGAAGATGTAACAACATTATTCCTAACTCTCTTGCTCGGCCATAGAAAATGTTGGGGTGTAGGTCCAGAAGAGTTGGACCGCGAGTTGGGTGGGGAGCGGCGCTCCGAAGGCAGTTAAGGGTGGGGGGCTGGCTAGCGCCTCACCTTGCCGGGGACCCCGCGGTGGTCGGTGCTCCCCTGCCAGAAGCGCCTGTTGTAGCCTGTGATGTATCCAACCAACTTGTCCTGATAGGGGAAGTCCACTTTCCAGATCAGGGACCCGTAACCAAAAACCCACATCCTTCCCTTGCTCCTCCGCTGCGGCCGTGGTTCAACTCTCAGCTCTGGTCTCCGAGATGCCGGCACCTGCGGTGACTGCAGCTTCGCAGACGCGGGCAACCGGCTGTGAGGGCGCAGGCGCAATGGCCGCGCTGCGCAAAGCACACTGGGACGTGCAGTTCGAGGGAAGTATTCCGACTCCGTCAGTCAACGGTATTCTCTTTCCTTGCTTAGGATATCGAGAACGATTGACCTTCGGTTCGCTAAGCAGTGGGTTCTTTTTCAGCCTCGATAAGTTCCCCTAACCTTCTTCTGTTGCGCGGTGCAGTGAACTACATTACCCACAATCCCTTTACGGGATTTGTGGCTCAGAGATTGGAACTGTCCGCTGCCTTTTCGAAAGCATTCAAGGAGAAGCGGAAGGGCAGGGTCGCGGCTGGTGTGGTGTACATACCCGAGACGAGACATTCGGGCACCGCGCTTCTCACCTAGGAAGACATTTTGTTCTGCTTTGAAATTGGATTTTTGTCCATTTTGCAGACAGAGGAGCGCCAACTTGGGAATGCCATATTGGGCTTTACACTTAAGAAACTCACCTTTCACATAAAAGCGGAAAGTTTACTAGAGAAGTTTACCTGTGAAAGAACTACTGTTGTTTCAGCCCATGTAAATTTGAGGCGCACAACGACCTTATTTATCTTTAATATTCTCAGCAGCTCAGAAAAGAGTAGACAAAGGTTTCTGCCTCATGTACAGGCTGTAGAAGCGGTATGTGGAACCTGAAATTGTATACAGAATTCTTATGTGCATTCTTATGGGGAGAAGCTTGATGGCTTTCATGAGTTTCTCCAACAGGTGAAGATCCTAAAAAAATGTTAAGATCTGTTGGTTAGAGCTAATGCTCCAAAATGTTGTGAGGAAGCTCACTTAAACCATCATGCTGTGTTTCTGTATGTGAAAATAGAAGCCTTAGCAAATCCTTGGCTCTTGAGATTTCCTTTTTTTAAAACGTTTTATTGGGACGCCTGGGCGGCTTAGTCGGTTAAGCGTCCGACTTTCGCTTGGGTCATGATCTCGCGGTTCGTGGGTTCGAGCCCCGCGTCGGGCTCTGTGCTGACTGCCAGCTCAGAGCCTGGAGCCTGGTTCAGTCTGTGACTCCCTCTCTCTCTGACCCTCCCCTGCTCACGCTGTCTCTCTCTCTCTCTCTCTCCTAGAAATAAATAAAAAATATTATTAAAAAAAAGATCCTGTTTAAAAAAATAATAAATAAATAAAACGTTTTATTTATTTGGGGAGGGGGGAAGGACAGAGAGAGAGGGAGACCCAGAATACGAAACAAGCTCTGCTGTCAGCACAGAGCTGGAAACGGGGCTAGAACCAACAAACTGAGATCATGACCTCACCTGAAGTCAGATGGTTAACTTAGCTGACAACCACCCAGTCACCTCTTTCTTGAGGATTTCTATTTCATCGTCTTTAGCTCTGTGAAAGAATACTAAAACACCCAGGTTCAAAGAGTACTATTTGAACTTTTAAGAAACCAGCAAGAAACTTCTACAAAGAAAAACAGTTTAACAATAACTAGGCCTTAGGGCACCTGGGTTGTCCAATAGGTTCAGCTTTTGACTTCAGCTCTGGTCATTATCTTGAATTTCATGAGTTCAAGCCCTGCCTTGGGCTCTGTGCTGACAGCTCAGAGCCTGGAGCCTGCTTTGGATTCTGTGTCTCCCCTTCTCTCTACCTCTCCTTCACCTTCTCACACTCTGTCTCTCAAAAATAAATATTAAAAAATGTTTATATAAAAAATATTAAAGAATAACCAAGTCTTTTCATATATTCTCCAAGATTAAGTTTCACATTGCCTGGGATGGTTGGTTTCCACCCACCCTGAACTTTGAAAAATTTCAAACATACAGAAAACATTGAAAGAAAAAAATATTACCATTCATATAGTAGGCATGTGGATTCAATAACTGACATTTTGCCACAATTACTTTGTTCTCTATATGTACTTTAAAAAATTTTTAATGTTTATTTATTTTTGAGAGAGAGACAGTGTATGAGCAGGGGAGGGGCAGAGAGAGAGGGAGACACAGAATCAGAAGCAGGCTCCAGGCTCCTAACTGCCAGCACAGAGCCCGATGCAGGGCCCAAACCCTCAAACTGCGAGATCGTGACCAGAGCTAAAGTCAGATGCTCACTGACTGTGCCACCTAGGCGCCCCTCTATAGGTACTTTTTAATCTAAAACGTTTGCAGTAAGTTGCATTTGTTACTTTTCACTCCTAAGTATTTAAAGGCTAAGGACTGTCCTAATAACCACAAAGCCATTATTATATCTAAGGAAATTAGCAAAATTACATCATCAAATATCTATTACATATTCAGATTTCCTTAATTGTCTCACAGTTGCTTTTTGTAGCTGACATTAAAAAAATTTATTCTTTTATTCTTTAGAGAGAACAGGAGCTAGGGAGAAGGGCAGGCCTGTGGAGAGAGGGAGAGAGAGAGAAAGGAAAGAAGGAAGAAAAGAAAAGAATGAATCTCAAGCAGGTTCTGCACTCAGTACAGAGTCCCGATGAGGGGCTCAGTCCTACAACCCTGGGATCTGGACCTGAGCCGAAATCAAGAGTCAGACTCTCAACGAGGTGAGCTACCCAGGTGCCTCTGTATCTGATATTTTGGTATTTTTTCCCCATCCAGGATCCACTTGAGGTTTTTTGTACTTTGTACTTTCATTTAGTCAAGAACATAGGAAAGTTTCTATAAAAGGAGGTTTCACATACAGTTTATGCATGTTAACTAGTTGGTATTAGGGGTTAAGGGGAGAGGTGCCTGGGTGGCTCAGTCAGTTAAACCTCCGACTTCGGCTAAGGTGATGATCTCACGGTTTGTGGGTTTAAGCACCGTGTCGGGCTCTGTGCTGACAGCTAGCTCAGAGCCTGGAGCCTGTTTCAGATTCTGTGTCTCCCTCTCTCTCTGACCCTCCCCTGTTCATGCTCGCTGTCTCTCTCTCTCTCTCTCTCTCTCTCTCTCTCAGAAATAAATAAAATATTTAAAAAAAATTTTTTTTAAAGGGTTGAGGGGAATGGTGATAGTACATTTCTTTTGGCTTCTCCTTTCCTTAAGAAGCTCAAAGATATTACCCAGTTCTGATATTTTTCAGGTATTTCCTGTTAATTTAGATCTATTAACATCATTTGTAACAATGAGGAAGGCCAGTAAAATTTGGAAAGGGATTCATGCTTGTTTTTACTTGAATGTTATTTTTTAATGTCTTTGGAGGAGTATTCTTATGTCTGTGTTTGTGTTTTTCCTACATAGAAAGAATTTTTTCTTGTATTGGATGAATAGGCTTATAAATTGCCATAAATTGTGTGTTGTGTTCTTTTTTTGTGAAACTTGGATATAATGGCCTCAGCTGGAAGTTAGCATTGATAAGAGGCCATAAGGCAAGCTGAGGGCCAAGCACAAGTGAGCACAACCCCCTCCCCCATAAGTGTGATACCCCTCAGGCACTCTTGACTGCCCAGGAACAAATGGTTAACTGATAGAAATCAAAGTCATACAGGACATGGGTTTCCATCAGTTTACACATATCTTGGTACAGTTACAAAAAGGGATATTTTATCAATAGCCTAAAGTCCAAGAACTCTCTACTGTCTTAATGTTAATGCTTTGCTAGAGGGAAAAGCAACCTTAGTTTGACAATAGCTAGGCCTCCATGGATTTTGTGAGTCTTTAGCATACGAAAATTAAATCGGAAGCATCCCCTGGACTTTACTTCCCCCATCTCCCAAGATATGTAACCAGTCACTCTCACAACCCCAGTGTAGCTCTTTTTCTGCCCACAGGTCCTGTCCCCGTGCTTTAATAAAATCACCTTTGTGCACTAAAGTTGTCTTCAAGAATTCTTTCTTGGCCATCAGCTCTGACCCCCCAGAATTACCCCTAAACCTCGTCAGTATGGTTCAACAAAGTGTAGCCTGGCATTCAAGGTTCTCCACAATTTGGCTTTCAGCTCTCTCTGTGGGAGAAGTAAGTGAGAGGATTCATTTTCAGAAATACCAAATAAAAGTTGTCCTGTCTAGTTAACAATAGGTTTACAACTTACTGGAAATATGTATGAGTCCCCCCATCCACCCCCCCTCCCCACAATGGAGTCCCAAACCCTCAGTTCCGGTTCTTCTCTTCTCCATTTTGGGGGCTTATTTTTGCAGGCTTTGCAATGAGCCCAAGCCAAGGAACTGAAGTCTCTGTGCCTCACCTAAAGGAATGTACATTTGTTCCATTCAGATTACTTTTTACCTTACTTGGGCATAGGTGACATACATCCGGTAAGGCATGTGTGGTACTCAGCCAATGAGGAAAGAGGGGAGGGACTTCACACTGGGAGATAAATTGCCTGCTATAACTGTCCCAAGTGTGGCTGTCCATCTTGCTCTTGCAAGAACATTGATTAAGCCTTGCTTCACTGTGTCCCCCCAGTCTCCAGGTCTGTCCCTCCTTTGATTGGGTCATTGGGCATATTTCTCAGATTTGAGGTCTTGTCCCAGGATTCACTTCTACCCACAGGGCCCAGGTCCTCCTGTGACAGTGAAGATATCTCCCACCCCAGTTTGTGTGGCCTTTCCAAGGAAGGGCTCCTGGCCCCTCTGGGATCTGTGGAGCTCAGGATTTTTTGCCTTTGGAAACAGAAGAAGTGACCCTGGGGAAAGGGTAAAAGGCACTGTGGTGACCAGGTAAGTCTGTGCACAGACCAAGGTAGGAAAATTGGACTTTAAGTATTGTCCAGGGGGTGGGAAATCCTCAGAGGCTGAGTGTGTGTGACTGACACCTATTCTAGATATGAAGGGAATGTGGAGTCTAGATTCATAGTTCAGTTCTCCCACAAAGAGAATGGGTGGAGACAGACAAGGTTAGTTCTGGAGAGTACAGGAAACCTCCATTAATGGGGGTTCAGTGCCCCAGAGAAACTCAGGAGCAGGAACTAACCTGGTTAGGATGGGGAACAAAAATTCTAGGCCTAAGGGGAAGGGAAGAGAAACCCAGAAAGAGGCAGGGTCTCTTCATATTCTTTCAGAGAGTCCACTGGGACTGGGAGGACTGGGAGGACACAGGGAATAA